TGCTAAAACAATTTTTCACATATTAAATTTTTTTTTTGTATTTTTAAAATTTTGCTTTGATCTAAGCAGGAATTGACTTAAATTTTTTTTTTTTATATTACTTGTTTTTTTATTGGCATACGAATGATGCTTGGATTTAAGAAGTATGGCAAAGAGGCTCATTACCATCACACTTGTCGAAAGTAAATTCAAGTCTGAGAAATGTCTCTTGAGACTTTCTTTTCTGCATAATAGATGCCTCTTCCTAATTATTAGATCCTATTTCAAGACACTTTCTAGCAGTGCCATCTGCGTCATTACATTTGTTACTCAAGTTTAATAATTTATCCATGCTTACAGAATATTTTTAAAAGGTAAAAATATCTCATAATTATTCAAATGAATGCCAACCTTAACCTATAAAATCCAATATTTTTACACACGATGTGGCTATAAGACAGGTAACTGTAGTGCTGGATTATGACTACATTGGTCGCAATGGCGCCAATGTAGTTCTCGGTATTATATTATTCTTAGTCTCGGTATTACATACTATGCATTTGCAAGTACTATGCCTGCATGTTACGTACTATGCATTTGCTGCTTATTTTGATTCTGAAATAGCTTCTAGTATATGCTGAAATTGCAGTGCGACATCGCTTTTATGATATACTTAGTAGTACTCTTCAGTATCTAAGTATAATTTACAGCTGAACTTGGGGGGTACTGCGATTTTATAAATTTGCCGCACAGGAAATGCGATATATTAATGATGATGAATAATATTTTGATGATATTTCATCTATATTAATCTATATATATCTTTTTTCCAACATTCCGCTTTGTTATCCCATTTTAGCCTCATCCACAGTTTAAGACACGCTGGAATAAAAACGCTATACATTGATACGTTTGAGTATATAGAAAATTAGATACAGCTTAAAAAAATTTTAGATGCGAAATTATAATCTGTAACTTAACTGATAGATTTTGGGGAATGTTGAAGATTTAAACGATGTCTTTTCACCATCTACAGTAGGTTTATTACCTTAAATTAATTTATTTTAAATAAAAGAATGATTAAGGATTAAACAGATTTAGATAAGTGACTTAGATGCTTATTTTCTGTCGATACATTCGTGTTTTTTAAAGTGAAATTTGAAAGCTGTCTCGGTCAGTATATGTTAAATCGTAATGGTATGGAACTTTATGAATTCCCTATTATTTGAGAAATGACGTAGTATGTATTGATCTTTAATGTTTCAACTCAAGTTTTAATAAAACAGAGAAAAGAGTCAAAATTTGTCATTGAACTTTTGAGATGCCGGCCATTTTTGTAACTGATAGAAAAGAAAATAACAAAATGCAAAGACGACAGAACTTTGAACCTTGTGATGTTGTTTATGATGGTATAAAATTTTCTGAAAGTTTTGTAAAGCATAATTTATTTTGCATATCAGTAATATTTTTATGAAAGGCTATAAGAAGTAAACCTTTTCTTGGTATCAATGTGGAAAAACAATCTACGTGACCTACTTGAACTACATTCCTTTTCCTCTCCTGAAAACAAAATTTACTAATATAGTTGTCCTTGAAAAGTGCAGAGCAGAATAATATAAATTTTGGCACCCCCAAACTAACACGATACACTCCCGCTTAACCTAAAAGGAGAGAGGAGTATCCTATAACACAATTGAGCAGAAAAAACTATTATGAAATTACTTGTATTTTCGAGGAGTTTGATTTGGAGAGTAAATTCATTTGGTTATTTAAATTAAGTCAGGGTCCACAACATGAAGTCAAAGCTTTAAAACAGAAGCAGTGCTTTTGTTTATATTACTTTTGTATTTCAGTTAAAGTTGCTGAGAAACGGAAGATAGTGGCTGTAACTTCATTCATTTTAACAATTAAGCAGTTTATTTTTAATGAATTATTTAAATATTTATATACCATAAATTACATTATTAAATTCCTCTCTGTTGTGGATAAGAACAATTCCTAAACACTGTGAAATCTGCTATCACTAGTGCTATCCCACACAATTTTTTTCACTCCTTCAGCAGAACAGCGATTGAGCGGTAAAGTCGCCGGACACTGGTAGTTTAGTCCAAGGCTCGAATCCTGCAAACGGTCTGGCTGCATAGGCGTTTTCGTGGTTTTCCCCATGTGTAACATCTATGCGAGCCATTTTGCCATGGAAAGTACTCCACGAAGGCATCCCTTCCCTTAGGCCCTCGAGGCTTTGCTGTAATCACATAAACCAAACCAAATCTCCGTGATTCCCATCCTGAAGAATCGTCATCTCCAGACTCAATAATGTCGTATGTTTGCTGAGCCTAACACATCGCTCTCTGTGGGCGATATTAGCGGCTAAATCGTCAATGTTATTGTTCACTATCATTAGTAAGTTGAAATGAATCGATACACGAATGAGATCAATAAGGATATCATTGTCTGTCTTTGCGATGCGGGAAAAAAAAAAAAAAAAAAAAAAAAAAAAAAAAAAAAAGACGTGCGTGGGGAAATAGAAAGCGTACTCCATAGGCTAACCGCTCATCCCTCTTTATATGCAACCGTGCACCTTACGAAGAAATCTGTTACAGTATGCCATACCATCACCGTCTGGAAGAATAAGGCCTGAGCCAACACGTCTCTAAGAGCTAGAAAGTACACGGCCATACACGCCTTTTAAATTTGTCTCATTAATTTTGTAACATCTACAATGTTTTTTCAGAATATATTATCATTATATTGCACATTATTGAGTTATGGTATTTAATACGTATTCTGGTGTATAATTCGTGTACATTCGGACACAAAGCCTTTGTTTGTAAGAATTTATTTATTTTGACTAATAGTTTAATTTTTAGTTAAAGCAACTTTACTGCTACTCTCCTTTTTACCCACGCATTCCTGCCATAATATAAATCGGTGTGCGTGATGATAATATAAATCATATATATTATCCTGCTATAATATAAATCAGTGTCAGATGAAGGGAGAAAGAAGCAAAGGATTCGGAATTTGATTTTGGAGCGTGTTATTGAATGCTTAAAGGCCACATTGTTGACTTACGAGCGATTTGATTCAGTGGCGATGAGTGCTTTTAGCCATTAGGCTTGTTCCGCCGTCTTCTACGAGCCAGAGCCATCCTGCGCTATTAAATTATCTTGTGAGCTGTTAGGCTAGTATAGTTACATTAATATTTTTAAGTTCAACATTATTTATTTAAATAAAGCCAAAAGTTTTGGCTTATGTAAACCCAAGTGTTTTCGTCTGTGGACTCTTTGTAATCCAATAAAAGGGTCATTTACACCCTTCTTCTAAATTTGTAATCATAGAGCCAAAAGATAATTTCTCTACTGTCTTTCTAGAGCTTGTTAGTTTGTTAGCAAAAAATATGAGATTATATGTTAGTATTATTCTTAAAGAATAACACAATGAATTTTATTCATAAGAGGAGAGATCGAATAAAAACTAAATTATTTAATTAGATAATTTTGTTACTGAAAAGAGAAAATGGGATAAAAGTTAAGGCAATTCATGTGAATATTTAATTATGAATATTTGAAAAACATTTTTACGTATGTGACGGAAATCCTAGCAAGATAGGCAGACAGCTCATTATGGAATGGACCTTCCATACGGTATATTACTTACTAGCGTAACATCATGTAGGTTTGATTAAATGTTTGAAGACACACAAATGAACGAAAATGTATCATTTAACTCTGATAATTCATTCTGCGTTGTGTTTCTAACGGTCGAACATACTTGCTTGAGTAATTTTGCGCTTTTGTTCGTGGTATGTTTGATATGAGCATTTTTTTCTTAGAGAGTACTTCATGAATGTCTTAGTTTTGCCCGCTCACAGTAATAAATTTACGTCAATGATTATGGATACCACATTTAGTCGCGTATTTTTACACCTAGCGTTTTAGCACGAACTTCTAAAAATTTTTTAAATGTTCACTTAATTTTCTCCTTCACAAGGTGTTAAAAAAAGGCGAGCTTACCTAAATTTTAAAATGGATTCCTCCACGCAGTGATTTGTTTTTCGCCTTACAAATTGATTTACTCGTGGACTTTAGAAGCATGGACTTTGAATGCTGAAGCGATAATGGTAAAGAGCTTTAAAAAAACGGATGCTGCTAATAGATCATTGCATATGGGAAGACTGACTGAAGTGAAGACGGTGATGATGGCGATGAATTAGATGCCATAGCAGATAACACTGACTGCAGTTCCCACTGCATTAAATGATTTGCTTAGGGACAACTCTTAACAGCGACCGAAATTCAGGATACAGCAAAGTAGAAATGACGATTTCGCACAAAATACTATAATAATAATATATTGTATATTCTTATTAGGATGCAAGTTTTTTTTTGTATAATTAATACGTTGAAAATTACCATTTGTTCATGCATGAACTTTGTTAATTTGTTATGTTCTTACTATAACCGCAACCTTCATAAATTAAATTATTCGCATAATTTTCTCTGCCGATTTCGAGCGATAAAATTGTATAAAAAAAGAGGGGAGGAATGCACGATTAAAAATAGGATATGTTTTTCAACGTTTTAAAAATGACTCTGCTAGTGCTCGAGTGGTTAAAACCGATAAATAATACCGGTCGACTTGTATTCGATCCCAGGCAAACGGGTTAGTTATAGATATATAAACCAATTCCCCTTAGGAAGTCCTTCATGAAGGCATCCCCTCCCTTAAGCAGATAGCTCTCATGTGCTTTTTCATATTCAAATAGCCTAACTCAATCACATTTTAAAATGCGTCGAGAATTTTACGAAGGGAACTTCTATTATATCGAAAATTTGCTATGTAATTATAATGCATGAGGTAGTAAATTTGGCATCATTTTCCTTTGCAGATTTCTGAAAATAAATATTTCGGGAATGTGTTAAAATTTGCAAGGCAAAATATAATTTTAGTGCAAGAAGTATTTTTATTGCTTGTCATTAATTTTGTTTGATATTAACTTTACGTAAATTCTTTCATAGGCTGAACAGAGATTTGAAGAGATATTCGTCTGTCCTTATCGGAGCTGACATTTTTCACGCTTGTGTTACAGTATTCAGAAGACAATACGATATGAATCAAAGACGACAGAATGCAAACCAAAGTTACACCTGGGAATCCTACAAAAGTACACCGACAGGATCCCAAAACTATACCAAGGAGTCCTATAAGACTTCAGGACCCGTGCAGAGGAGTGCACCATCTGCTAGAGGTTATGACAACGTGCAAGTTCGGCACAGTGTAAAGGAGACTATGAAAACGAAAGTAACTGTTACTGCTAAGCAATATACGGAAGTGAGAGAGCACACAGTCAGAGAGACTGTGTCTGCCAAAATTTCAGGTCCTAAAGCGGGTAAGTAAATTAGTGTTAGGGAAACATTGTTTCATTTCTCTCTTTTTTTGGTTACATGAACTCTTAAAGCATTTCCATTCTTTTTCAAATAAATTTTGTTCAATTAACATTTCCCGGTTAAAGTAAATTAGGTGCACATTCACTTCTTGAAGTAAATTCAAGCTTAATTTTATATGTATAGGGTTTCCGTCCAGAAGTACAGCTCGAGAACTTGATTTGTCATTCAGTGACGAACCACTGTTTTGCAGAGAAAGTAGGAAACCTGGATTGCTTGAAAAACCTCATTGTTGAAGCAGCAGCTCTCGAATGCATAAGATTTTGACCATCGTTTTGCATTTTCCATGTTAAAAAGAAGGATATCTGCTTTGAACTCATAGAAAGATGTTGAATTGCTCTGAATATTAAAAATATGTTAGTAAAACTGTCTGTATGAAAATAAAAGGTGCCGAATCTTTCGAGAGCTTTACGATCCATGTACGGATAGAATATGCTGTAGTAGAAAATTGAAATACTAACGTGCTAAAAATTGTTCATATCGAAACAAATATTCGAACGATGATGTCAAGAAAGCAGATTTAGAGAATAAGGTGAAAGGAGACAATAAACCATCAGTAGCATAGAATAAAATACGGAACTGTAAAAAAGAATTATGTAAAAAGATTAAAAGATTTTCTTTTGTGGCTCTATATTCAGAGAAGTGTAAAAACCGGAAGTAATTAAGATTAAAATAATAGCTAAAGTAATTAACTGTAATAACAGTTCTGATAGTAATGACATTAATAGTAATGGTAGTTCTGTTTTGTAGTGTTCCGCAATGTTCTTTTCTCGAAATCTTGAACACATTTCTAGTAGGAAGACTAAAAGTCTGTATGGACGCCACATGACTTCCTTGTACGGCATATTAAATTATACATATTATTTTGCTGCATTTCATTTAAACTTATTTCCTGGAGTTTCATTAATCATAAAGTACAGAAAAAGAGAAGACACGAAATACAATTTAAAATACTTTAAAAAAAATTTTAGAATTAGTTTCTATGCTAAAACAAGCAGTTCGGCCAAGCGGGGCAGGAAGGCGGAATCAGTGCACAAAATTGAAAGCTTGTGTTTGGTCCCACTTGGCAAAAAGGACACTGAAGTGACTTAATCCACTATTCTAATTACGAGTTTAAACAAATAGCGGCTTCCTTAGGCTTAGGGCCACTTAACCCTCTCGCTGCGTATCCCACGATTTCCACGGGCAACGTACAAGTAGCAAAATTTGCGCAACCCCCGATTTCCGCGGGGATGAATTTTTGCCGTCTATTTAACTGTGCAACCCGCTGTTTCCCCGTTCAAGGTTTCCTTTCGGCTTTTCTGTGATGTTTAATTGTTTATTTAGATGTGGGCTAACAGATGGCGTTAATTGTCCACATTTCTGCCAAATATATAAGAATACGTAATGTAGCATTATGTGCGCGCTTTTCAGAGCTCGAGGAAGCGTTTCGTGAGTGATATGACCTATATTTCTGAAGATATTTCCAACACTGATAGTAGTTCTGACTCTGATTTTAAGAAATTATTATTGAAGAAAGTTATAGCGAAACTGATGAGAATTTCTCGGATTTCTCTGCAGATTGGGATGCATCTGAAAATTCAGTTTGTATTGAAAATGTTCGACAGTGGTGCAAAATTTATTCAAAATTATGCAAAATATACACATTACGCAAATATTTTATCAGTACATATGTTTTACCTTTGTATTTATAAAATAAATCATAATTTAACCAATATTAATTTTCAAAATTTTCCTTTTATATCATTATTCTTAAATTTCAGTATTCTGAAATTTCAGTATTCTTTTTCTATGATCTAATTAAACTCTTTTACAAAAAATTTTTGTATACCATAACTGTATAATGTATGTAGATTTGAAGTATGTAATAAAAAAATACGCAATTTTTGAACCTATTTTGAGAAAAAAGAGTATGCAGTGAGAGGTACGCAACTTTTTTGGTAATTCTACTACAATTGCAGGCAGATTAACTAAAGACAAAAAAACCCGAAATGGAGCATAAGAACAATATAATTCGAACACTTTAAAGCAGAAATTCCACAAGTTAGCTTTATGAGAGGAAATTAAAAAAAATTCCCTCTAATACTTTATGAGAGGGGAAAAAAAAAAAAAAGCTGATCACACGGAGTCTGGTAACAGTGGATCTGTCTCTGTATAAGTATGCACACGCACCTTTTTAAAATGAACTGTCTTCTGTAGGTCATTCTATTTAATTTTTTTGGTTTTCTTCCAAACAAAGATGGTAACTATGAAATTTCGCGCTTTATTTTTGATATTTACGTAGTGTTTGAATCCTTTTCGAAACTGTATAGATGAGAGATCTACTCAAATCGGAACATTAGTTAGTTGTGGAAAGTTTTTTTTAAGGCTTATTTCAGGCAAAATACCTCGGTGAATTTCGAGAGATAAACAAGAAGAATCCATTTGGTTCAAATTCAAGTTATTCGAAATAATTGTCCCTCCCTTTTTTTAGCAGAAGCTGCTACCTTTTAAAATAATTTAAGGTAATTGAACTGATGAGTGGTAGGGATTAAAGATGGTATGGTTTATTTCTGTAAAGGTGTAACACTTTTCATTTCAAGTCGTAATGGAATAAAAGATGAATTTTGACAATTTTTGTAAAGATGTAATAAATTTTTAAAGCATATTTATTTGCATTAATAGTATTTTTTTTCTTATAGGTACTTCAAAAGCTATTGGTGGTAGAAGTGCTTCAAGCAGAATGTATCGCTGATAAGTGATGCAATAAACATATTTTTCTCTATCAGAATAATTAGAATACATTTTGATTTCAGTAAAGGATTCTTAAAAAATTAGAAAAGATTCATTGTTTTGCTATTAGTTAATTGCATTTGAATGCGTTCTGTGTTCATTCTAGTGTGTAGTATGCCTTAAAGAAATGAGAAATTCTGAACGCTTATTTGTTAGATATTGTTTTTTTACATTTAGTTTTAACTTTAAAAATACCTGTAATAAGCGCACATTGAAAAATAAATTTGTATATTCGTAGCTAGAGTTATGATTTTCTTTCAATATTTTATAAGTATTAGAAGTAATTTTTGATTACTATTGTTTTACTTCAATTTCGAGTTGATCCATAGGAAATTGATTGAGATCGTGAGATTCAGAATATTCATTTCATCTCGGGATTTCAGCAAAAATTCTCTGAGTGAAAGGGATTAAAACATTGATGCAGAGAAAATATGTACACTTCACTTCTGGTTTTAGAAAAAGAGGACAAGTGTATTTGATGCAGAATATAAGTGGAATGATTTCTTTGCATCTCCATTTTCTTTGAAATACAGTAATACATTTGTATGCATAATTTAATAAAGACATTAAAGTAGACGTTTCGGTTATAATACTCAGCACATTTTTCTGGAATCATAGATTCATATACAAGTACTCAGCATTAAAATTAAATTATGTTAAGAGTCCATCAACGCAGGTTGGAAAAAACCATTAAACACTGTTAATTCCCGTTGTTATTTGTTTCCAGCATACGGTAAGGCTGACTAATGTGATTTTCCGCCTGCATATTTATTTTCCCGATTTTCTAGGCACTGCTATCAGCATGATTTACAACGTATTTTTCCTGGCATTTTATTACTCTAAAATTCACGTTTTTTAATCTGCTTAACTTATTTTCACACACGCACGCACGCACGCACACCAAAAAAAAAATTCAGATTTTAAATTACAACCAAAGGGGCTTTTTTTTAACATTTTGTGTGTTCCCTTTATTTATTAAATATCAAACAGCAATATCGCAAAATAATTTTAAATTTCGCATATCTTTAGAACTTCCAATACGCAGTCTCAGGTACTGGAGATAAAAATGCTTCTTTTATGTACAACGTTGCCATCGCTCACTTTGAAATCCTTGAGTTAATCAAAATTTCGTTAACGTTTTACAAAATATGAAATCGAAATCGATCAAAACGAAAACTATAGTCCTTCAGGGACATAGCCCCTTTGGACTTAAAAATTCGTCATCTGATATCATTTGCTTTTTATTTGATAATCAATTTTTTATAAAAAAATTTACTGATATGCGTGTGTTAGTGTAATTTTCTGAAAACGTTATGATCCATTTCTTTAATGCATATCAAACGCAGCTGCGGGTCAGTTTGCGTATCCACACATGTTCGATGGGATTTAAATCTGAGGAGTACGCTGGCCAATCCATTCGAATGATATCTTCACTTTCCAGTAGCTCCTTAACAGCAAGAGTACGATGTGGCCGTGCATTGTCATCCATAAAAATTATGTCTGGGCCAATGGCACCTCGGAACAGACGCACATGGAGAAGGAATATCTCCTCACAATACCCATTCTCGGTTACAGATCCTCTGTCGAAAAAGTGGGCTCAGTCGCACGTTCAGGCATAAGCCCCAGACAAGACAGGACCACCGTTCGGGTCCTTGATGTTACTGGGATAAAACGAGTCCGACCTCTCTCCAAATCAAAATGCGTTGAGAATCGCTTCTGGTACTGAACGACTCTCATCCGTAAGAGGACACGATCCATTGATAGTTTGTCAGCTTTGTGCTCTTTGCACCACTGAAACGGTGGCGTCGGTGGAAAACTTCAACGAGAGGCGCGAATAGAGACCCATTTGAAGCCTCTGGCACAGTAAACGCGACAGTTGTCGCCCCGTTGCTGTGAAGAGTTGCTGAGCAATGTCGCTTGCTGCTGCTGTCGGCATCTTTTCGCCTGCAGGACGATATAGCGGTCATCCCCGCAGTTTCCTGGGCGGCCACCCCAACCTTTCTAACAGCTGTCCTGTGGTATGAACGCTTTTCAAGCGCGCGAAACGACACTTGTTTGATTCCGAATCTGCAGCTACACTGGTGAAAGTCCCCTCCTCCAGCTTTCCGATCATTCTCCGTGTGAAGTCGTCCAGGTGATTCTTCTAGCCATATTTAACTGACTCCACTGGTACTTGCAGCGAATATGTTGATTGCGTCTCCGTCCTCCTTTTATTCTAATGTTGACTGCGCGCGCGAATAGTGTTTGTGTACGCTCACGTCGCCTCTGACGTTTCGTTCCTGATATTTGCATACGCATGACGTTTCTACTGACTTACGTGTTCATTGCACCGATCTCCTTTTCTGCAATTTCATGGCTATCTGCTAAATTTTTACATTGTTGCTTAAGTTTTGCACACCAGTTTAGTAATGGTAGACTTACGACTGGTGTTGAACAAAAGTTAGTGGTTCATCTGTGACGGAAAGGAATTAAAAAACTCCGAGGGAAGCCGAAGTGTCATGCCAGCACCCTTTCGGCATATGTACACTGCGGGGAAAAAAAAAAAAAAAAAAAAAACCCCTTTGATGTTATCACATCAACAAATATGCCAAATTTCAAAACGCGTCAGTATATAAATTCACTCGTATATCTTCGGAAATTTTGAATAAAAAAACTATTAATTTTTTGCAGGTATGCTTAGAAATACATCTACTTGAAGATGAAGGTAAAATTTTTAAGATTATAATTCACAATATTTTTCGAAAAATTTATAAAATTATTTAAAATAAATCATAAAAATGGGCGAATTTTATTTGGAATGAACCTAAATTTCAAAATGTGAAAGGAAGAATCAAATAAGTTTAATAAAAAAGTAGAGATTAATAAATATACACCAAATTCAATTAACATTGAGAAGCTAAAATTTTGAGAGCTAATTTTCATAAACTACTCGTGCGGTTTTTACAAAACTTGGCAGTTTGGCATAATTTGAGTCGTAGAGTCGAAATATCGAAAACAATTGGCATTTCATTTGAGAATAAGTCCGATTTTGTGCCAAAATACCTCGATTAGAACAATGTTATACAATAAATGTAATACATATCGTAACTCGCGCTTTCGAGACACGAAAAACGCAATTTGAATTTCGTCAAACGGCTCAGTAGAACGGGAGATATGGAACTGTCCCTTTTTTTTTTCTTTTTCCGCGCGGTATACTTTGAAGATCAGCTAAACCCAGGCGTACAATAGGCAGACTCAGTTTAACGAATTTTACTGCACTTGATGGCTTGTTTGAGACTTCAGTAGAATCGTTTAGAGAGTCTTGGTGAAGAAGTATGATATTTGAAGAACTATGATATGGTGAAGTACGCATTCAGTATATTCGTGCTTCCAGTCAATGCGTGGGAAAGGCTTCCATTCAGCGAGTTTATATCCATGCAAGTATATACAGTACAAAGTCCGAAATCGACTCATCGGGACTTCGGCGATTCCGGATTTGGGATTTTTCTGGATAATAGATCATCAATTTAAATCTGGTAAGATGGCATGCAGAAATTATACAATTAAAATCGTAATTTATAAAATAAAGAAAAATTATGTTCTAAAGGGTATCAAAATTAATTTACAAAAAAAGCTTAATATTTATTTGTTTGCTTTATTAAATATTTCTTTCAATGTACTAAGTTGTTTAAGTTGCTTCCATAAAAAATCAAAAAGTTCCCTTCTCTTATGTTATATACAGTTGACTTTCCATTGCCATACTCCTCGCATAATTTTCAAACAGGTATGCCTTTATCCATTTTTTGCAGCAATTCCACTTTTTGTTTAATGGACATCGAAACATGGTTTCGCTTCGTAGATCCTTTGGCAGCTCCAGAACTGGAAACTCTTTGCGATATAATCGAAAGTTCAAGCTTAATTTTTAAATTGCTGTAATAAAACAGTCTGCAAAAAACAATAAGCTGGATTAAAGAGCAGCGAAGTCTGCTACATTAACTGAAATGCCTTACAATTAGTTAAGATAATTTTAGTCTAGTTTAATAGCGTCCATTAACATTATTGGCTGTGTATCACAAGATTGGCGACAAAAGCCAAGTTGTTCCGCTAAATTTTGTCTTGCTCTTATTGCGTACTGAATTAAGCCTGAATTGTATTAGTTATTTACTATACCTACGTTTATTTCTTGCACATCCTTAAAACTAATCTGAGTCTTGAATAAACTCCCACATATACTTAAGGCTTTATCTAGAACAGATTTGCTTCCTCAAATTCCAAAAATTGTGTCTTCCCTAAATTCTTCCCGCTTCTGAGTTCATGGTGAATAACATATCAGTTATTCTTAATTAAAATAGCACTAAATGTATTCTTTTGGCCAATGAGTTTCATTAACAACATCTATTTTTAGCATATGAAAAGAAATTTTTGTTGAAGTTTTCCTCGTCAACATTTCTTAGAGCAGGGATGGGCAAACTTTTTCGGTCGAGGGCCAAAAATCGAAAGAAAAAAGTTTAGCGGGCCAGAGATGTACTGATTCTAAGGAACGAAGCTAAATGCTCATTTGTCAGTCGTTCTAAAGTTTATAGTTGAAAACACTTGTTCACATATATAAGATGAAGCAAGCATAGCACTGATTTTCGGGGCGTGACACATTGAATTTGGAAAACTCACTTTCGATAATGATTTGTAAAACTCAAACTTTGGCATATTTAGAAACAACTGCTTGAGATGATGTTGATTGCAAATCAATTAATTCAAGCTGCAAATATGACCTTACTGCTTCACAATTTACGTTGAAAGCCATGGTAAAGTATCCACTTCTGTTTGAATGGCACTGAAATCTGCGTTCGAACTCAAAATACAGTTTTTTCAAGATCTTCTAATTTAAGCTTCTCTTATTTATTGAGGGTATTGAATTAACCTCGGACAATGACAAGTCGTTCTTAGCTAGATGCCCAGCAACAGATTAAGTTTGTATTACGTTTTAAGTTAAGATAATTAGTAAGATTAAGTTTTTTCCAAATAACAGACGGAGGCGTAAAGACGTTCGTTCGTTCAGACGAGAGCGTAAAGAGCAAAAGTGGTTAAAGCCGAGCTCCGTTACCAAGACAACCAATCTGGGCAACGTCACAAAATCTGGTTTAGGGCTCGTGGCATAAGGTTCAAAGTTTTCAACTTTACGCCGAGTTTGGGATAAGCGTCGACCAATCAGAGCGAGGCTAGAACGAAGCGGCGTTGTACAGAAGATTTGGCTGTCACAAAACAAG